TATATATATATATATATATATATGTATATATATATTGCATGAATGCAAATCATTATGACATATAGAGACGCGAGCTGCGCGTAACTTTGCCCGAGTTTCGATTTAGACGGCAGCCGCACGAGAGAGTTTTCTTCGCTTTTCTGCTCATAGAAATCACGAATCGATATTCGCGCTGACTACCGAGTGTCTATTACTAAACGTTCTTCCTCTTCAGCATTATTCGCGGGATAATAACGGAATTGCGTCAGCTCCTGAGTACCCGCTTACGCACCGGAATCAATTGGTGAATTTTTTTTTCGGCGAACAAAACTTTCGTGATTCGTTATCGTTCGATCGTAATTTTTCTTCGCATATGACGTCAATGTAAAAATTGTGTACGTCATTGCGAAAAACGGCCATTAGATCGCGTTTGTTAAGGAAGCTTTGTATTATATAGAAATCAATATCCCATTATCTTTCAAATGCTATCGGCGCGACGTTTAGGAATTCCCCAGAGTTTTATATGTGACAGCTTTCAGTTATACTCGGTTTCCTACCGGATAATAGCTACTTATTTATATATCTATAATCCAAACTGTCTATAATCATGTTTTTTATTGATATTTTTTGTTCTTTTACCAAACTGCAATGCTCGTGGGAGTTCACGCTCTACATACGTACGTGACCGCAGGCGCGCCGCTTCCTTTCGTTTTCTGTTTGCATTTTTTTCGTGTTTGTTTTGCGTTCGTGTGTGGCCTGACGATGGCACATGATGTTGACACGATGCCGTCTCTCGGGCGATAAGGAAAAATTAAAGAATGAAAGCAGTTACGGTGTTTACGCAACATCACTCGGCCATGTTCATTTATCAGGACTCAATCTGAGACGGAGACGTGCCTTGCGGCATCCCCACACAGAAATCGCTGGAATATTCGTATAGGCTCGGAAACGCCGAGCGCTATCAGACGTCAATCGGTCGGCTAACACTGCAATTTCGTTCGCAGCTTTACATGGTCTATAAAGGCATGGCGACTCCGGATCACTCCTATCAGACGGTGACCCACGGAAAGGGGGCTAAATTCTTGTACAGCGGCGGTCGATCTCCAATTCCCCCACGCCATTGTACGGGACTATCGAGCTTGTCCAATCATGATAGCTTCACGGCCGCCAAAATGGAGCGGGATATACAGGTACGTGTGCGCCTTCATTGTGGCTTCGTCGTACAAGAACAAGTTTTTTTGTAGAATCTGTTTTCATGCTCCTGCGGTGGATGGACTAAATACATATGTTTGCCGAGAAATATCCGCGTGTTTAAAATGAACGCATAAAAATTATTATATTATATAATGATTGACATGGTTTTAGCGCATATTGAGACGTTCGCGATAGGCTATACGTAAGGCTTGCCTGCATTGTTAGAGTTATTATATAGGTTCATTTTACATTATCACATGCACTGATAATTAGTGAATTATTAACCAGCGTCACAAAGTGGCGAATGTCAATAAATGACTGCATGCTATGATTTGTCTGTGTGTGTCTGTGTAAATTATATATATA